GGAGAGGTTACGGGAAATCGACCTGACGACACTGGAAGACAGGAGAGTTAGGGAGATATATTAACGACATATACAATACTGAGGGGTATAGACAGAGTGGACAGAGACAGGATGTTCCAGAGATGGGACACAGCAACAAAGGGTCACAGTTGGAAACTGAAGACTCAGATGAACCACAGGGATTTTAAGAAGTATTCTTCAGTCACAGAGTGGTCAGGAAGTGGAATAGCCTGGGTAGTGATATTGATGTAGTGGAGGCAGGTTCCATACATAGCTTTAAAAAGAGGTATGATAAAGCTCACGGAGAGGGAAGAGTGACCGGGTAGCGGCCAGTTGAAGAGGCGGGGCCAGGAGCTGTGACTCGACCCCCGCAACCACAACTAGGTGAGTACAACTAGGCGAGTACACACACCCAAACACACATACATAAACACGCACACAGACACACAAACACACACCCACACACACACACACACCCATACACACCCATACACACCCAAACACGCACACCCATACACACACACCCATACACACCCATGCACACACACACCCATGCACACACCCATGCACGCACACACCCATACACACCCATACACGCACACCCAAACACGCACACCCAAACACGCACACCCATGCCCAACGACAATGCAAAACTGACATAGCGAAAGCCAAGTCTGACCCAAAGCTGTTGCACAGTCACATCAGGACAACATTCAAAGACCAGGCAAAAAGCTGAAGGACCAGGCAGGTATAACAGGGAAGGCACTGCAATGGAACAGAGAATACCTGACAGGATGGCAACAGTGAGTCATGGCACGTAACGAGGTGTCAGACTAGGCACCTATGACTAGAGGGTTCCACAGGGGTCAGTCATAGGACCGGTTCTGTTTGTGGTGAATGTGAATAACATGACGGAAGGGATAGACCCAGAAGGGTTCGTACTGACAGACGATGTAAAGCTAATGAGGAGAATTCAATCGGATGAGAATCAGGCAGGACTAGAGATCTGGACAGGCTGCAAGCCTGATCCACCAACTGGCTTCCGGAGTTTTACCCCACCAAGTGCAAAGTTATGAAGATCGGGAGAGGGCAAAGAAGATCGCAGAGTACAGGCTAGGAGGCCAAAGACTGCAAACTTCACTCAAAGAAAAGGATCTTTGGGTGAGTGCAATACCGAGCACATCTCCTGAGGCGTACATCAACCAAAAAACTGCTGCGCCTGGCAAACCTAAGAATTGCTTTCCGACATCTCAGTAAGGAATCCTTCAAAACACTGTACACCGTGTATGTCAGGCCCATCTCACATCACAGTCCAGCACCACGTGGACAGACACATGGCTTCTGCCGAAAGGAAGAGGTCACGATGTTCCAGGGACACGACGGATGACTCGGATTTAGAAATGGACGACTGATTTAGAAATGTGGGGCGCAATCCTAGCGAAGAAGTTGCGAGACCACTCCGTGTCATCAGAGGAAAAGTCTCCAGTTCTGACAAGCCTAACCATGCAGCCAGAGAATACGGAAGGATGGATCAATGTGAACAGTAAGACACGCCGTCCCTCCAAGGAGCAGGTAAACCAGCTCAAATCACCTTCCAGATTCAAGGTAAAGGCTTATGGGGAACACAAAACCCACTATGGCGTGGTTACACACCTGGAAACACGGCACAAACTGAGGTTCAAGATATGGTTCAACCTGAGGGGAGAACCAATACTGACTCCTATCAACAGGGAAATGCATATCACCTTGAAGAAAGTCATGGAGACAGACCGCTCCTTCACCCTGGAGGAACTGGATTCTCGGCAGAAGGTCACCAAGGGTGTAGTGATGCGATACCCGCTGATGATGCCCATCGAGGCAATAGCAGCTCACCCCAGTGTCGTGTCAGCTCAGCGTCTCAAGGCAAAATCGGCAGGCAATGCACCAGCCCGGCAGGTCCTCATTCAGCATGTAGGACCGCTGCCATCCCAGCTGGACCTTGGTTCTTGGGGCAGGTACGATGTCAGGACCTTCACGGCAGAACCAGTTCGCTGTTTCAAGTGCCAGCGTTACGGACACCTGGGTGTACTCTGTCCGAACAGAGTAATCTGCGGTGTCTGCAGCCAGCCCCACCCTACCGAGGAATGCATCACCAAGCTGAAGAATGCATCGCCACCCACTCCACGATGCCCGAATTGCAGGCAGAAACACCATGCCTGGAACCCTCGATGCCCTGAGAGGCTCACTAGAATTCGCGAGGCCTGGAAGACACCAACGACGAGACAGCAGGCTACAGCAGAGCATCACCCTCAGCAGACGATGGGTGCAGAGAATCCTGCCATACTGCAGAACTCTCATCAGTCAACCCAACTCAATGCCCAGGAATTTCCGACCCTTGAAGACTCAACCACGCGTCATGAACAGGAGCATCCTCCCCCACTACCGCAACGAAGAAACAAAAACATGAGGAACAAGCGGCGCCAACAGGAAACATCTGGGCAAAGCAATCAGCAGACGGCACTACACGAGCCCCCATCGGCCTCCTTGCCAGGCACAGCCACTATGCAGGCTGTGGCTGCACCTCACCAGCAGATGCCGGGTACACAACCTGGCATACAGCAACAGCCCACGGTGTGCACAGTGAAGAAATACAACCCTCAGCAGTCCCCACAGATTACGACAGCCCAGATAATGTCCACTGCTTCGAACCCACCGACAACGCAGGCCCTCAACAGAGAGGATCTCTTAACACTCATCAAGGCATTCACGGATATTATCTGCAACACAATCACCTCCACGGAACAACAGAGCATGTTCCTGCAGATGGTCAGCACACTCCTAAGGGTGTGCTTACTGACAGCAGGAAGCAGTGGATGCCATGAATCTGCAGATTATCAGAGGACAGAGCCCAGTCCCCAGCTCAGGAAACAGCTGAGATGGAGTAACTTCAGTCGCTTATATGGCACACTAGCTGAACTGTCCGGAACAGTGCTTGAAAGAACAGTGAAATTCCAAACGTTTATATGCTGCAACAGTGAAGAATCAATTCTCCTTCAGGAGCCAGAGACGGGTCATCTCAAGATTAAGACCCGTGCCAGGACCCTAGTCCTGGCGAACATTATACATACATATGTCAGGCCCATAATGGAGTATGCAGCACCAGTTTAGAACCTACACCTGGTCAATCATGTCAAGAAATTAGAGAAGGTGCAAAGGTTTGCAACATGATTAATCCCGGAGAGGAGGTTAAGGAAAATCGATTTGATAACGACATAAAGTACTGAAAGAAATGACAAGGGGGAAAAAGACAGGATGTTTCAGAGATGGAACACAGCAACTAAGGGTCACAATTTGAAGTTGAAGACTCAGACTAGTCACAGGGATGTTAGGATGAACTTCTTCAGAGTTGTCAGGAAGTGGTAGAGTCTGGAAAGTGATGTAGTGGAGTTAGAATCCATACAAAGTTTTAAGAAAAGGTATGATAAAGTTCATGGAGTAGGACCTAATAGCGACCAGTGAAGAGGAGGGGACCAGGAGGCAAGACTCGACCCCTGCAATCATAATTAGGTGAATACAATTGAGTGCTTACACACACGCACACACGCGCACGCGCGCGCGCGCACACACACACACACACACACACACACACACACACACACACACACACACACACACACACGCGCGCACACACACGCGCACACACGCGCACACACGCACACACACACACACGCGCACACACGCACACACACGCACACACGCACACACACACACGCGCACACACACACGCGCCCCGCGACACACACACCAACACACACACACACACACACACACACACACACACACACACACGCGCACACACGCACACACACGCGCACACACGCACACACACGCGCACACACGCACACACACGCACACACAACGCACACACACGCACACCACGCACAACACACACACGCGCACACACACACGCGCACACACACGCGCACACACACGCACACACACACGCACACACACGCACACACACGCACACACACACACACACACGCACGCACACACACACGCACACACGCACACACACACGCACACACACACACGCACACACGCACACACGCACACACGCACACACGCACACACGCACACACGCACACACGCACACACGCGCACACGCACACACGCACACGCATACATATCCAATGCTTTCAACCTCCAACTCACTGCAGTGTTTCAAACCCGGACTTCACACACACAGCAGTGCTGGTACCACTATTTTGTGGTACAGTGTTCATTTCGTATCCCTACCCTCTGATATAAAGTCTTTATAACTTAAATTGTTACTCTCGTGACCTTGCTTTTTCCTATGTTCACATTTAACCTCCATCTTTTACATACTCCACAAAATTCACCCACGAGTCTTTGCAGTTTCTTCTTAGAATCTCCCAAAAGAACCGTGACATTGGCAAAGAATAACTGACAAATTCCTCTCTAAATCTAATTCGTTATCTTTAATCCCACACCTCTCCTAACACACTATCATTCACTTTTACAACTTCCATCTACATGTTAAACCATAATAAGATTACACGTCCCTGTCTAAGGTCTACATTTACTGTAAAATAATAATTCACTCGCATACTCTCACACACACAAAAGTTATTTACTGATTTGAGTAATCAATTACCCATTCCATACATGTGCAACTTTTGCCACATTGTCTTGGGTAAAATAACTGCACGTGGCCGCCTGTAAATTTAACTATAGAGTCAGATTTACAGGCCATTCGGAGATATTTTACCTAAGCTCATTCCAAGTGGAATGAGATATCCTAAGATATCCTTCCAACCCTTAGAATGGAACACACAATAGTTGATCAGCACCCTGGAACAACAGGAATACAAGTTGTGAGGAAACCTTCCAGTTCGTCTAGCCCAGCCCGGAAATCAGACGCTAGTTCTTGTAATTGTTAATCGAACACAACATTCAAATGTGTATACTCCTCTACAAAAATGTATTGGTTGAATTACCTGTGATGTGCATGAGCCTGCGAGTGTTGACTTTGGAGAGAAGTTGATGGCGGAAGATGAGGTCAGTTAAATAGCCGTAGATGTAGCAGAAGATAATGCCAACGCCTGTTAGCACTATACACACCATTCCCGACTCCTTCATGCTCAACCCAACCTGAGTCATCAATACATCTAGTCAGAGTAGATTTCTTAGCCACTGTTTATTAGTGTTTATTGGTTAAAATTAATTGGCAAGTATTAACATTAATAAATTGGATTTGCTGTTTCAAAGATTAATTATTTTAACAGCCATGACTTTCTAATTTAACGTCTTTTCATGCACAATTTTTTTTTTTTTTTTTGGCCTTCGAAAGTTCGCCTCTCTCTCTCTCTCTCTCTCTCTCTCTCACATACAAACGGGTGGTTACAGGAGAAAGAACACCTTTTTCCCCTCTTGTACCAACTTTATATGGCACTATTGACCAGTTACTTCTTCTTTCTCCTCCCACTTGTCTTCCCTCATTCCCTCCTCTTCCCTTCACAGCAGCTCTGATAACACATTCTATTCCCCTCCCTCTTGCGCTACCTTCGCTAACTCCTCTCCGACTTTAATTCCCTCCAGAAGTCACAGTATAAAATGAATGATAAAAAAAAGTGTGATATACAAAGAAATCATCAAAAACAAAAGTGGTGAACAAAAGGATAGAGTAACAAAGAAGCATCCTGATATTATAGCTTTCACCGAGGCAAAACTTTCTGGAATGCTACCTAATACATTATTCCCAGAAGGGTATATCATAGAGAGAAGAGGCAGATAAGAGGAGATAGGGGTGGCATTAATGGTACAGAATTATTGGAATTCTGAGATGGGAAATATGAACACTGGTCACCTCAATGCTAATAGAATTAATAACCAGGATTCCCAAGGTAGTAGTACATGAAAAAGCAGGGAGGATTTCGATGTGCAGAGAGCTACATTACAAATTCTAGAAAAAAGTGGCGTAGAGTACAAGACAAAACAAAACAAAGCTGCTGATAGTAGATGCTTTCAATCATAAGGAAGTAGACAGAGAGGTAAAATCCACTGGAAGGATAGAAACAAGATGAGTAAAATTGAGAGAGGAAGAAATGGAAAATTTCTTGAACCAACATGTCAGAAAAAGTTACAAGAGTTATATCAGGGGACGAACCAGCTCAACTTTACTTGGTTTTCGCCTGAAGTGAATCTACCATAGTTGAAACTAAATAGGGTAACTAGACGATAGAATTATAAGATGACTAGCTTTGAATACTTGCTAGAAGATGGGTGGAGAAAAGAGGGATGTACAAATCGTACTTGATTACAAGAAGAATAAACAGGCACAATACTGTGATTGTAACAATACACAAAAAACCCTCACATAGGAGAAACTTATGAGGTTTTGACCTCGCTACACTCCACTCTGACTTGTATCACTACCACTACTCCAACCTACTGCTAGCACTACTACTACACTATCACCTACCTCCGCCACTATTTTTGCTTCCTTTAGGTTATTCTTCAACTCTATATGCCGTTGGTTAGGCCTCATTTAGATTATGCTGCACAGTTCTGGTCACCCTATTACTGAACGGATATAAATGCCCTGGAGAATGTACATTGGAGGATGGCAAAGATGATCCCATGTATCAGAAACCTTCCCTATGAGGATAGACTGAGGGCCCTGAGTCTGCACTCTCTAGAAAGGCGTAGAATTAGGGGGGATATGACTGAGGTGTATAAATGAAAAACAGGGATAAATAAAGGGGATGCAAATAACGTGCTAAAAATATCAAACCAAGACAGGACTCGCAGCAATGGTTTCAAATTGGAAAAAAATAAATGCAGAATGGATATAGGAAAGCACTGGTTTGGTAACAGTTGTGGATGAGTGGAACAAATTCCTGAATAGTGTCATTGAAGCTAAAACGTTGTGTAATTTTAAATATAGGTTAAACAAGTACATGAGTGGGTGTGGGTGGGTGTGAGCCGGACCTGACTAGCTTGTGCTAGTAGGTCTGATATAGATCTCCTTCCTTCTAAGTGGATGTGACTAGAACCTGACTAGCTTAGTCAAGTAGCTTGGGCCAGTAGGTGACTTGGACTTGCCTAGCATGAGCCAGTAGGTCTGCTGCAGTGCTCCTTATTTTCTTATGTTTATATTATTACTTCTACTTTAAGAACATAAGAACATAAGAATGTAGGAACACTGCAGAAGGCCTACTGGCCCATACGAGGCAGGTCCTTATCAAAACGACATCTACCTAAAGCTACTCAAGAAATAACTCCCGTACCCCTTGACACCAATCAAACCCAGCCCCTCCCACTCATATATTTGTCCAGTCTCTTCTTAAAGCTACCCAAGGTCCTAGCCTCTATCACCCCACTGGGAAGACTGTTCCACGCATCTACAACTCTGTTAGAAAACCAGTACTTACCTATGTCCTTTCTAAATCTAAATTTATCCAACTTAAATCCATTATTCCTGGGTTTTTACCTGGTTCGACACCCTCAGTACTTTTTATTGTCTCCCTTGTTTATGCCCGTCATCCACTTATACACTTCAATGATATCTCCCCTCATTCTAAAGCCTCTCCAAAAGAGTGGAGATTTAAGGCTTTAAGTCATCTTCATACGGGAGGTTCCCCTTTCACAGTAAATCATTTTAGTCATTCTTCTCTGTATGTTCTCTAATGAGTCTATGTCCATCCTGTAGTAAGGGGACCAAAACTGAGCAGCATAATCTAAATGAGGCCTCACTAGTGATGTATAGAGCTGGCAATATAAACACAAATGCAGTATAATGTGATCCTTTATTGACTACGTTTCGCCCACACAGTGGGCTTTTTCAAGTCACAAACAGAACAGTTCTGTTTGTGACTTGAAGATCACATTATACTGCATTTGTGTTTATATTGCCATTGTGTCGGTATTTTATACCATTTATTTCGATGTATAGAGCTGTAAAATAACTTTTGGACTTCTGTTACTTATACTTCTTGAGATAAATCCAAGTAATCTGTTGGCCTTGTTGCGCACACTGAGGCACTGCTGTCTTGGCTTTAGATTTCTGCTTACCATGACTCCCAAGTCTTTTTCACATTCTGTATGACCAAGCTCTACTGTCTCGTCCACACACCTCCTTTCGTATAAATATACTGGTTTCTTTCCTTTCGTGCTTTTGTGTGACTGGTTAATGGTTCATATGGGGCCGAAACGTCTCCTATATATGTATACATGAGTAGTCAACTTTTCTACAGGGGGGTGTATCCGGAAAAGGCCTTCTACAGGGAGGTGTATCCGGAAAAGGCCTTCTACAGGGCGGTGTATCCGGAAAAGGCCTTCTACAGGGCGGTGTATCCGGTTTAGGCCTTCTACAGGGCGGTGTATCCGGTCTAGGACCAGCGGCTGGAGGGTCACCTTTTCACACCTAGGTGTTACTTCCGGTTTTGACCATGACCTCGCCCTCGAGACTACCTTCACCCTGACCCCCCCAACCAATACCCCCACCCACGACCCCCCCCCCCCCTTCGCGACCCTCCTTCGCGACCCCGCCGTCCGCGCCGCGCGCCCGCGCGCGCGCCCGCCCGCGCGCCCCGCCCCGCGCCGCCCGCGCGCCCGCCCGCCGCCCGCCCCGCGCGCCCTTCGCGACCCCCGACCCGCTTCGCTGCGCCTTTTGCCGTCACCTC